TAATATTATGGTTTTTTGCGCTGTGCCCAAGGCTTTCTCAACTGTAGTGTAAAATTCTTCTATATCAAGGTCGCTTGCCGCTTCTGTTGGTGCATAAACTTGTATAATGGATATTTTATGTCCCTGTATATTTATGTTTAGTGTTGCCACTCGCTCTGTTATGCCATTGAAGCTTATTATGTGTTTTTTGAGAGACTTATTTATAATGAAGCCAACTCCATGTTTGCCAGGGGTTTGCCCTATGTAGCACAGTATAAAATTTTCGTACTCTTCTATTTTATTTCCATGTCTTCTCATTTCAGATATTCCGATGATATCGTATTTAATATCTCTTATAGCCTCTTCAAACTCGAGCAAACGGTCATACGATGAGAGGGTTCGGACGTTGTATGTTGCGATCATTAATTTGTTTTTATGCAAGGTGTTTCCCTGCTCCGTTGGTGTGATCCTTGGAGGGTTTTGGTCATACTGTGTGTTGCTGTTAAGTTTTGCTATATTTGTTGCCATATGTATCCTGTTGGATGGAGGTAGTAGTCGCTGAGCCCCACGGTGACCAGCCGGCTTGGGGTGGTTGGTGCATGTTTTCTTTCGTTGTCCTTTGTTGGTGTTGATCTACAGTTAGCATTGTTTTTGTTCCGGTTGTCGGGGGCAGTTAGTTGTTTTTGATACCTCTGAAAGTGAGCTAGACCTTCCCTTGCTATATAATTTAATAAATTAGGTTTTATTACATCCTTTGTATTCGTTGCAGTTGGCATCGTTGCTTTGTTAGGGTTTGACCTCTTTTGTGTAGGTGATATCGAGTTTTACGCGCCGATATGGAAACCATATCGGCGCGTAAAACTTAACAGCTTACGTTGCAAGAGTGCTTCATTCATCACATTAGTTTAAAGAGATTTTCAGAAGGAGTCTTTACTTTAGCATACAGATGCAAAATCTTATTGTCTCGTTGGTTAACCATAGGGTATGTTTGACTGCAGATCTTGAGGTTTCGGGTTCAAATATCGGGTTTTTAATTAGATAATATGTGTCATTACTAAGACATCATGGAACATTACGATCTAGCCAAACTTAAGTCTAACCTAATTTTTCTATATTAGGTAGGTACTAAGAAGGATTTTTAACATAAGGAAGTGTCCAATAACACAACTTACAGTCTCTATTAAAGGGAAGACACTCTGTTCACTCACTGATTAGAACAAATACCGGGTGGTGCCGAAAGAGGTTATAAAAGGACCGTTGTTATTTTTCAAGAAAACAAAAAAGTACTTCAAACTTATTTGTATATTTTCATTAAAGGGATAACCGAGCTCCTGGCTGAGTTTGTCAGTGGCAGTACGACCATTTGTTGGGAATCTGTAGATGAACTCTATGTAGTAAGACGGTATCCCATTGGTAAGCTCCTAAAGCTATTACCTAAAATGACGAAATAGATATATGTATATATAAATATTATCTACTCAATGGATGTACTAGACTTTTACTAGATAGTTATAGAACCAAGCAACATATATTGCTTTTTATATTGTCTTTTAGTTACCCGAGAAACACACATTTTAAAGAAAATACACTTTACCTCTTTAAGGTGCTCATTTGAGGCTATCTTAATATTATTTAAGTTTAAACAACTCGTGACGCTTTACAGCTGTGTTTCCCAACCTTTTTGCGCCATGCCCCAAATTACTCAAAATTCTTATGTATCATGCATAATTTACATATAATTTTTTGTTGTTGTTGTTTTAATAAATTTAAATTATAGTTTTTAGGAAGATATCACTAGAAAATTGTTAACGAAACAATAAGTAAATTTTCAAAACAATGAAAAACTGAAAATATAATTCCTAATAATTTTAATAAAGATTCTTCTATATTAATTTAGTAAGATCATTGCGCTTGATGACTGCTGCACCGAGCATTTTTATTAGGTTCCAATTTGTTAGCTTCAGTCTCAAGTCTCCACGTTGTGCTATACCCAGCTGATTTCGACTTCCCCCCTTAACAATCAGATTGTGTGGGCGTGGGGCCCACGTTGGGAAACACTGCTTTACAACAAGCATTTGCATTAGCATTTTCATTATAGTAACTAGGTTGCTTTATTAATTATTGGCCATATGTTCTGGCTAAGGTATTTCGACCAAGTCTTACGATGAGATTCAGAAACGAGACTTAAGTTCATACTTTTTCATATGTTCCTTTATACGTTATATATCTATACTGCGATAAGTGTACGTTTGCCTTTCGTGCTAAGCAGTTAACATTACATCTTATTAGTTAAAATATATAATTTCATAATATTGAGTTTGAATTAAAATATCTCTTTCCGAATAAAGTGAAGACATTATCTGCCTTTTATACAAATTCAATCAACGCCAATTTGCATATGGTCTAAGATCCCTATATACAACGACCTTCACCGAGATGCTTATTTAATGAAACGTATTTTATATTAAATTTAATGTGTCAATAAATATAATCCATATGGGTTGTCTAGCAAATTTCAGTCCAGAGTATGTTTAATTAATAATTTTAAAAAAATATTTTTTTAAACATTTCACCGGTATGATTATTAGATAAATTCTATACCAATCGAAAGTATGAAGCCCATAGAATATGCAAACTTTATGCTGCCCATTCTTTTCCGGTCACAACTATCGGGTTGCCTGGTATAAACAGGTAAATCTGTACTAGCATTTTGCAACGGTCTGTTTATTGAATGAAATTTAAATGAAATTAAAGATTATTTTATTCTGAACACGGTGGTATAGGGTTGTCTGCGAAAAATCTGTCCAGAATTGCGGTTGTCGAATTTTAAAAAGTAAAGTATTGCTAAAATTATTATGATTTAAAATTATCTTAGCTAATACATCTTCTATATTTCTATATTAAAATATATATTTTATATTTTATTTTCGTAAATTCCATGTGGCTTAATGCAACGGACCCAATATGCGTGAAATTTGAGTCTGAGACCTGCGGACGGTTCTTAGATGAATATTTAAAACCAGTAGGATTCATTGGGGATCATACACCTTTAAAGATAGAAGACATTGTCGAAAAAGTGAAACAGAAAGTGATGACGAAGAAGATTCAGAAGTTGAAGATCGTAGTTTTATGTCCTATGACTCGATTCTGAATAATTAAAAAAAAATTGTATTTTTAATTTTTTACAATAAATAGAAGTAATTTTTTAATTGTTGTTTTTGAAGTTATACTTCTTTAGGCGCGTTATGAAAAATTGATGAGAGTGAAATTTTACGATGCGCGCGCACCGTGACACTAAATTATCAGTATGGGCGCCGAGCGTGCGCGAGCGAGATGGAAATAAGACAATCTACAAGTAGAAAGAAATAGAATATGCGTGAAGTTAGCAGCTATGCTAAGAATTTTGAATGACCATAATGACATTTACCTTTTAAACAAATAAAGGAGTTTTAATTATTTTTTCAAATAAATTTAGGAATGCTTTTTCACAAAGACCTATTGTTACTTAGTTAAAAGGTTATGAAACATACGTAGTTATTAAATTGAATGAATAATATAATAAAATAATAAATAATTATTAATATTAATTAATAATTGAATAATATACTAAATATTAAATATTATTAACGTTAAATATTTGTTATTAATAATTTAATATTTTAAAAAAATAAAGAAAGCCAAAGAAGTTTAACTTCTTACGCGCGTACATAAGTACACGCATCCTTTTTTTATTTTGTCTTCTTATAATAAAAATAAAATTTGCAAGATTACCCTGATTAAAAAAAATTCACTTTTATGGGTTTTGAATTTTTTCCAATAGTTTCAATTGATTTCAATTTCTCTGTTTACATTTATAGATTTATAATTTGCATGTAGTAGGTAAATTTTTTAATTTTTTTCAATCAATATTTTTAATCAGGGTATTATTATATATGAATCACTACAACCTTCTTTTTTACTAAAGATGTATATATACTTTAGTGTCACATGAAAAATTTACACATAAATAATTAATTGATTAAAAAAAATTAAATAACTATTTCTCTATTTAAATAATAAACTACTCCAAAATGATGCATAATTATACGAGTCCATCGCTATCCTTTTCTTTTCCAAGCCCAAATAGCATGCGCACTCTCATTCTTTAAGTGGGCGGACTTTTAACAGCTGCTATGCTGTGTCCTCTTCTATCGCATGGGATGGTCGGTTGGGACCTCTCAGTCGCACACATTCACTTGGAGCAATATTTTACTTTTTAAAATTCGACAACCGCAATTCTGGACTGATTTTTCGCAGACAACCCTATACCACCGTGTTCAGAATAAAATAATCTTTAATTTCATTTAAATTTCATTCAATAAACAGACCGTTGCAAAATGCTAGTACAGATTTACCTGTTTATACCAGGCAACCCGATAGTTGTGACCGGAAAAGAATGGGCAGCATAAAGTTTGCATATTCTATGGGCTTCATACTTTCGATTGGTATAGAATTTATCTAATAATCATACCGGTGAAATGTTTAAAAAAATATTTTTTTAAAATTATTAATTAAACATACTCTGGACTGAAATTTGCTAGACAACCCATATGGATTATATTTATTGACATATTAAATTTAATATAAAATATGTTTCATTAAATAAGCATCTCGGTGAAGGTCGTTGTATAGCGGGATCTTATACTAATATTATCAGGTCATATTCTCGTCTCGAGCGCTGTGAAATATGTCAAACTCAATATAGATAGAATGGTTTGACGGCTTGAAATTAGAATTAAGTTTGATTGCAGTTCTAGAATGTGGGACAGTAGTGCAAAATTTAATAATTTTTTGACGTACGAGAGTCAGGACTTAGCGCTGTCTTGTTTCTGAATCTATTCCTTAAAAAATGCGCTTTCTAAGAAATTCCACAATCTCTTAGGACAAAAATTATTACTATAAAATTGCTGACGCAATGGACAAGCGTCACAATTTGGCATTTATTTTCAGCAAGTCACTTGTTTATGCTGTTATATACATACCTACCTGTATATACGTGTTGCTGGGTCTTCTTTGTAGTGGTAATACTTCGGGGTGCACTTTTGGTGGATCACTAGTCATTTTATATGACCTAGCTGTTATTACATGATTGTTGAGATTTAATACTTTGACGTCTATCGCTTCATATAGGCCATCCTTCAGACCTTCTTGCCTGACATAAAAATAAGGAAACGTGATTGTTGTGGTCAAGTACTAACTTTTACTATGTAATGTTAAATGTGTGAAATAGGTGTATGTATGTATGTGTGAAATAGGAGAATTAATATTTCTTGGCCTTTAGGCAATACGCACAACTATTTAGCAATATCTTAATAATACATAACTAATATATATACGCGCTGTAAAATGTGGTCAAGTCAAGGCCAAAGGTTTTTGGTTTGTGGACTCAGTTTCCGCATTTAGACTCTCAATAGGTCCGTTGTGAATGAAGTCCTGGCTAACTAAGCCAGCACTTACCTGGCTAACAAGGCCAAAGATTTTTAACAATAGTATTTGACTGACTTTCCTTACTCATCCAGTGCACCCATTTCGCTATAATTCAGAAGCCACAGTGCGCCCCAAACCTCACTCTTAGGAATTGCAGCAATGGTTGCTGGCGCACCCCGCCAATTCGGAGAATAGTTATCGAAATCCAACCTGTATCCCTTAAAGCAACATATAAAAAAAGGTTCTTGCTTAAAATATTTTTCTAAAATTTATTGATACTAGATAATTAATAATTAAGTTCTGATTATCTGATTATTTTTGAAGTTATACTTCTTTAGGCGCGTTATGAAAAATTTATGAGAGTGAAATTTTACAATGCGCGCGCACCCGTGACACAAAATTAGGAGTGTGATTATAGCGTGCGCGAGCGAGATAGGAATAAGACAATCTACAAGTAAAAAGAAATAGAATATGCGTGAAGTTCGTATGCCAACAATTTTGAATGACCATAATGACATTTGTCATTTACCTTTTAAACAAATAAAGGAGTTTTAATTATTTTTTCAAAGAAATTTAGCGATGCTTTTGAATTATAATCAGAAGTGATTTAAATTGAATATTTAAACCAATACTAATTAATATTTGTGAAAAAACTGTGCTCATCAACCTTCCTAAGTGCTTCAATACAATTGAGGTTAACTATCCGTATGTATTATTATTATTATCGAGTAATGTTTTGATTAAAAAATTAACCACATTGTTTAATCAAAACATGTAATTTTCCTGATTTTATCTAGCAAATATAAGGAAAAGAGACAAAAGACAATTGATGAATCAGTGTAACTGCACTAAATTGAATACAAAAAAGAGTTTTCATCTTATCGCTGTGAAACATCAAAAACTGGAGGTGGAACAAAGCCAAACTATTTTTAATATTGCCAAAGAAGTATAACTTCTTACGCGCGTACATAAGTACACGGACCCTTTTTTTTATTTTTATTTTATTTTTACACGAGTAATAACTAATAATACTTACCGGTAATCTGGCAGGAGTTATAAAAACAGCTGACGGCGCATTGATTCGTAACCGTGTTTTCAGCAAGTTACTACCATAAGCAAAGTAGAGGAACTTTTTTTCAAGCTCTTGTCTATGACATTCAGTTATAGACACAAAAAATATAACTAGCCAACCACTTCGCATTGTCGCATTACTTGGTCTACGAGAAATAGTCCTTTTATAATTGAAATTATTATTCACGCTTTATACCGTATATACGGATATACACTTGTATGCATAATTAATTATCTGTGTATTTTTTTATTTGAAAATTCGTTAAAAGAATATCTGTTATTTTATTTTTCACATGAAACTTGTATTGGTGCGTGCGTTAATGGAATAAGAATTAAAATAACTCGACGGTCTGAACGTTCTACAGTAGGTGGGATATTCTCTTCTCGGCTTGATACATGTGTTTTTAAATTTTCTTAGTGTTTATGAAGACGTTGTGGAGCATGCACGCGACGCGACGCCAGTGTTTATCTTCGATACTAACACGATTACATCCAATCAGCAGAGTCGTCGCCCTAATTGGGCGCACCCAATGCGAGGGCGGGCTTTTTTAACAGCTTGGGCAAACACCGCTTTCCCGCGCTTTTCTCCCTTGAACATTGCTTGGGTAAACGACAAACCGTCCTATTTGCTTTCTATAAATTTCTCGTTGTGTATTCATCGCTCTTTCAAGCAAATTACGATTGCAATGCATTTCGATAAAGTCTTGTTATAAATTCAGTGTGCACTTTTACATTACGTGTTTTAAATATATTTTTAGTAGAAATATTTTGTATACTTTAAGATCAATACTCACATTTTTATCTGAACTTTTCAGTGGCAATTAGGGGTTTATAATTTAATTACAATATTTTTGTAGACATCTTAAAACGATAGTTGTGTATAGGATATAAGAAGAAATCCCACATTATTATTTTTTATTGTTAAAGTATTAAGAGGTAGAGAGAATTACAATCGAAAATGTTTGAAAAGCGTAGCTTAAGGCAGTTAAATTCTTGCAATAAAAAAGTTTTATTAACTACTTTGGTACCAAATCAAAAAAATTCTTATTTAAGTTTTTCGCAGATTGGTTGAATAAAAACACACTAAACAAATTTCATTTTTAAATTATTAATTTTGATTTAATTATTTTTAATTTCATGTTTACTTCAACTAACGATACACATATAACTAATATGCTGTATATACGTAGTACTAATCGATTCGAACAATCACTTCAAATAATTCACCACTATAACTATCAACTAGCCATATTAATGAAAAATAATCTGTATTTGCCAATATTGGATATGGTATTTTATTTAAACGCTCATTTAACTTATAATTTAATATAAACTTACATAGCTAAAAGCAATCATTACAATCACAAGTCTGTTTTAAGTATATATTATTTACAAAACTCATTAATTAATAATATAGTCAGAAATAGTAGAGTATAAATATTAATTAGGAAGTAACCTAAGTATTGGGATATTTCATATCATGTCCCGTTTTCACATTCTGACACTTATCACAGATTATATTCATTTACAATTATTAGTGTTTTAAATGTTTTGGTCATTCGCTCAAACTAATATCTACAAGGAACGAGAAATTCAGACCAATGAAGATGTTTGAAACATATTTACAGAGTATACTTATCTTTAGGATTCAATCTTAATAGGGAATTATATTCTTACCGTATGATAACTATAAGTAATCCTTATTTAAATAATGCTTATTGTTACGCATATGACATATTTTAAAAATACTTTTTGAACACACCGAAATAATAAAAATTTATATTAACTGAAAAATGATGAACAGGGCACCGCTCATTTCTTTTATTTAGTTGTATCTTCAGCTACAAGCTGTGGGCTATGTATCAGCGGGAGACTGAGCAGCAGCGGGCGTTGGGGTTGAAGGTGGTGGTGTAGATCCACGAGCAGCAGCGAGTGCGGCCGCGTGTCGCCTTGCCTTAAGACGCAGGTCAGCGATTGAGGAGGATCTACATCGCGCTGCAAGCGCTGCAAATCCTGCGTATGGCGGACACAATGCTGCGGCGGCTGCTGCTGCTGCTGCAGTTGCATACTGTGTAGAAAACATTTCGTTTACAGCAGGGTTAAAAAAATTTTAAACAGTTTAGTATTTATAAAGAACCTACCAAGTTAAAACGTTTATTTCCATTCCATTTATTTATGTGAGTCTATGAACTATAATAACTGAAACCATACCTGATGTGCTGCAGCTGATAAAAGGGCCGAATCGAATGGCGCGAAAGCCGTGGGTGAAGGGTGCGGTGCGAGTTGTATCGGAGGCGGTGGTGGTCTTTGTCCACCGGGGACGGATCCAAGCCGCGGTACAGCTACGTAAGGCGCCACGCGGCATGGCTCGAGTGGAGTGCCACTACCACTGACTAGTAGACCTAGGAGTGTGTACAGGAAGCCTAATGTTTATGTCGTGTAATAAAGAATTCCCCAAGGGAGCATGATGACATGTTTCTATGTCTATTTAATTGATCAACTCGTTTTTGTATTTATCAGTATAGAATGCGCTTTCCACACGATGATTTGCTTCACTTATTGTGTATTTCGCACGCACGATATTAAGCACGATCTCATTTAAAGGCGCAGGGTAGACTATATGCTGTCAGTCTTCGTTGGTAATAAAACGTTACAAAACTTAATTGGAAAAATTGAAAAGGTGGTTGATAAAAAATATCACTTAAATATCATTATTTACGACAATCTGTTGAATTTTCTATTTCACATTCTTTTACATAGTAATTAATAAGTGATCACAGTTTATACCCCAATAACAATTTTAATTGTATTTATCCCTTATTCAATGTACTAACAGCTTATTGATCCATGACAAAGACAAATGAATGCCGGGCGCAAGCCGAGATCCTTCTCGAACTTCACTTAATTAAATTGATATTTAAGTAAAGCATAATTTGCTCGTAAATTAAGTGAGATTCGTTGTTTATAGCTCTCCCTCGGGTGAGGCAATTAATAAATTAACACGGATCTACTCCACTCAAGGTGTTCGGTTCGCGTCTAAAGGATTAATTAATTTAATTATACAATAAGGACAAGTTATACAGAAAATAATACTAGGGTCATACAATGACTACTACAGGGCCATTATACATACAACATAAATACTTATATAATTAGGTGTATGTATGTATATGAATATGAAATAGAAATGTACCGAGATCCGAAAAGCCTCTAGCAATTGGTGTAATTTTATTTCCTTAAGGTGCGCTTACACGAGGGCAATAATTGCTCGGCGTCACGAATGGACAGATCTGGAGCAATTAATGGAGCAACTTCAATAAATTCAATAAATTTTAATATATTATTTCGGCGATATTGCTTCAAATTGCTCCAGATATTTCATATCGCTCAATGTCGCAGATACGAATTGACGAATATCCAATGGACTTGGATATTCCTAGCAATTTTTGTATATATCCCATTCGCACTTGTTTGTTTTGCGGCTTGCCGTCTTGCTTCCGCGGGGAGAGCGAGAGGTCTAAATAATAATAATTTCTAATTACTTTTTTAAAAGTAATTCAAAGTCTGTTCGTGACATTCTAGTAAAGTTTTTGAATAATATATCATCTAATTCTTTACCCAATGTAAATTGCGGCCTCTGCCAAAAACGATCGCACCAAGATAAGCCTATTCCTTTTCTTTCTTTTTGTTTTTGATTAATATTAAAAAAAGCGCTACAAGCCGCCGCAGCAAGAACAATGTCGTCTATAGCGAGCGAATACTGAAATGCTCGTGTAGGACAGTATTGCCTAGTAGATAAAGTTGCGCCATATCGCTCAATATTGTATTGCGCAGTATTGATGCTTGTTGCCGTTGCCGTAAATTGCTTGATGCTTGCCTGCCTAAGGCGATTGTTGGTGGCGCCTTGGGGTTTTAGTGGGTATGCACATTCGCGAGTCCCACATAACCCTCCCGCACTAAGCAGTCGCACCGCGGTAGGGTATGCGCAATGCATTTCCCCAAGTAAAAAAAAAAAAAGTCGTGACGTCATAGTTGACGAGTATTGACTGGAATTGAGCAATTTTAGTTGCCCATTAGGGTGGGTCAAATATGTATGAAGAAAAAAAAGTTTAGTTTTTATAGGAGCACAGTGACTAAAAGGTGCTAAATGGTGACTGTAAATAGAATACGGAGTTTGATAGCATTCGGAATTAATCTTCTGCCTACGGAGTCATGTGAAAATTAAAGAAATATAGTAAAAAGGGCCATTGCATATTGACAAGCAAAGATCTTTTGTTTTTAATATAAAGACCGAAAATCATAAGAATCTTTTGTTTATTAATAGAAGAATATTAAAATAGAGTAATAACTATTCTCATTAGCTAAATTATTATTTAATTGAAATGTTTAGGTGCCGTTAAAATCCTTCTTGCTGTCGAATTTTCGCATCGCTTTCCTTCAATCTAGCTGGGCGTCTATGAATCCCTCTCTTGATGTTTTATCGCATATAGTGGCTGAAACTTCTGTCACGGCTTTAACGGCTCTTTCTACTGCTTGAGTGTGACAAGATAGACGTAGTAAATCCGGTTCTCCTTCTCCTTTCTGCTCAATAAATAAAATTTTTTTTTCGGTAACAGATTTTAATACCGGTGGTCCAGTAAAACTTTTCTGCCAATTCAAAAGGTCGTAGTATGCTATTGCGTCAAATTTAATCTTTGGTAACTGAAAAAGACACAGTGGTTTTAATATTGCTGATCTAACATGAGCTGAACTTTCAAAATTCGACGTGCAGCTAATTCGCGAATTTTCCGCTGGGGTCTGTTAACAATTCAAGCATTTTCTGGGTGCGTCAATAACAGCCTTCAATGCTGTTGGTGCATATTGCGTTTACTCAATAAGTTTATAGAAAGGCCTCGATCCATCATTACAGCTTGAAAGAGTTTTTATGGAAAACCATAAAAATAAAATAAAATAAAAATAAAAAAGCCTTTTATTTCCAGTATTATATAAGTTTACACTTTTACAATTTATTTTTAGTGTTAGTTCATGTTATTAATCTATATTAGTTAAAAAATATATACATATATATTCCTTTTAAATACTTAATCTACTGGAACCCCAAGTTGGGTGTAGGCCTCCTCCAGTGACGCC